AAGACGAATAGAAAGAGAAATATGTTGGCGATAGTTTTTCAAATGGCAAATGATCCTTTCGGAACATATTCGTTTGACTTGGCCAGAGTGGCTCGCAGGAACGCACCTCGTTGTTGAGATGCTGACCCGGTATCAAATTCTTGAGGAACGCCGCATCGTCATAGCGTATGACGCCAGTGTTTGGTATGCCCTCAAGATAGGAATTGAAACCGGTGATGGTTGGCGGCGGCGAATCATCGCCACAATTATGATGCATGTGACAATCACCAGGAGCACCAGGCCCGGCGCCTCCAGCTGCCACAGACGAGGGGAACACCTCAAAGCCATTGTAATAGCTCGATTGTTGGTATTTCTCCTGGAGCGTGGAGCCCGCTGGACCGGCACCAAACTCCGATGCTGTTGGCTGCCCAAAGCTGGACCAGTGGCTCGACGCGGACGAGTTGTTGTCTTTGGTCTTCTGCTTCAGCTCGCTGCCTATGGCGGACAAACATTTCTGCGTCTGCTTTGGACGGGCAATGACGGCCGCATCACCCACCAGACGACCAGGACTGCCCAGGGAAACGTTTGTGCAGCTAATACTGATATTGTTGTGCGTGTCGACAATGCCGCCACCGCCGCCACTGCTGCTGTTGCTGCTGCTGCCGCCACTGGCTGAGCCACTGGAAAAGTATGAGAAATTGGTGGGCGCAGCTGGAGCTGTTGCTGGATTTTGAGCTTGAGCGTTGCCGCCGCCGCTGCTGCTGGGTGTGACAACCAATGGCGGCGACGATAGCTTCTGCTGTGTAGCACGCGCCGCCTCGGCCACCGCCTCCTGTGGCGTATAGTAGTTGACATTGCTGCCGAACTGACGATAACCACCCATGGCCAGGCCATTGGTGACAGCCTGATGCAGCGCCGGGTTGCGTATGGTGAACATGCCGTTCTCATTTTTAATAATCGCGGCCGGTTGATCCATGGGTATCGGTGCGGCAATTGGCAGACCCGCGCCATAAGCCCGAACTGAAAATACAAAAACATTATATATTCAACCATGAGCATGGGCATTGTGTTCCTGTACCTGGCGGAATGGGATTCAGATTGGGCAACATGGCACCCGGCACGGGCCCATTGTTGACGCCCTGATGGAACATGGGGTTGCGAAGCGTTATGATGCTACCACCGGCGCTCGCCTCCATAATGGGCGCTGTGCTGAGCGTGTGCTGCTGTGTCTGCTGGTTGTCTAAGTTCCCAGCACGCTGCTGCTTGTTGCCAAGATTGGCGGTGCCACCGCCCGCACCATTGCCGCCCGACTTGCCACGGTTGCGACGACGTCGGCGCGAAGATTTACCGCTGGCAGTGGCGGCAGCAGCTGCAGCTGCCACATTGTTATTGCCATTGGGCGCCACATTTAGCGGCTGGCAGTTGGAGCGATTCAAGCGCGGATTGGCCTCCACCATTATGACGCCACCGGCGGTATCCATGCCCGCCGCATTGCCGGCATAGTAGCCGCCCATGAGATGTGCCTGATGCTGATGCTGATGCTGCTGTTGCTGCAGCGAGTGGTGCTGCTGCTGTTGCTCAGACAGCGGCTTGGATAGCTTCCGTATGGACTCGCTCTTTTGGCGCAATTGTTCGCTTTTGGCCGGATCCACCTTGGTTAGCGTTATGCCCGGCGGCAGTGAAAGATGCTCCACCTGTACACCGCGGTTTAACTGATCCATGATGCTGCAATTGGCCTGCTGTTGTTGCTGCTGCTTGCTGGAAGAACCGCTGCCGATGCGCAGATGCTGCATTTGTTGGGCCAGCGTGCTGGCATAGCTGCCGGCATGCGGTGGCAGCGGCGGTGGTATGGCAACTTCGTTGGGATTAAAATAGCCCATGTTATGGGGTATGCCCGAGAGATCCTCTGGAAAAGCAATCAGATTCGGATTGAGATTTGAATTAGTGCTGGCCATCTTCAGCGAGTTGTAATAGATTTTACCCTGTTTCTGACCACGATGTCCGCGCTTGCCGCGCTGCGAACGCTTCGAACTCTGCCCGCCGCCCTCCGCGGCGTTCGAGGAGCAGGTGCTATTGCTGTTCACATGCTGCTGTGACTGCTGGCTGCCATTTGTTGGCTTGGAGCGTCCACTGCCTCGACCGCCACGGGATTGCGACACACGATGCCCATTGACCGCTTGGCCGCTTCTGTCCGCTGCCTGCGTCAGTCCTTGTCCATGACTGGACTTAGACTTGCGCGTGCTGCCATTTAGATGCGACTCGGACGCACGCTGGCTTTGATGCTTAGCTTGCGCCGGCGGCGGTTGCTGCTGCTGCTGCTGGGACGTTGGCTTGCGCTGATTAGCGGCTGGCGCTGTCGTCGATTTGTTTGGCTGCTGCAGCTGCTGCTGAGGTGCCTGCGCTCGCGGCGGCGGTGCCTCAGCTTTAGGCTTCTTGATAGGCGCCGCCTGCTTTTGCTTGGAATTTGGCATAGCTGCCGCTGGCTTGGGCGCAATGGCTACCTTGACTTGTGTTTTCACTGGCTGTGGCGGCGCAACCACTGGCGGCTCCACATACTGTTCCGTTTCGCTGCCTGTTTCCCACTCACCATCCGAAGAGTCCTGCACATGCAAAGATTTGAACGGATTGTTATCCAACTGACCCTGATCCAGACGTGGCTTTAGGCGCTTGTGTCTTTTAACAGACTCCGGCGCCGGCGCCGTCTCGGGCTGTGCCTGCACTGGCATTTGTTTGGGCGGCGGCACTTCGACCACATTTTTGTTGGCATTCTTGGTCGCCGTCTTCTTATTGACCGTTGTCTTGGGCTTAATGCTGCACACAGAGTTCTCGCGCGTGTTAACGGCGCTGCTTTGCGGCGTCTGCGACTTGGAGCTGCTGCTGCCGGAGCTAGAACTGGATGCGATTGCTGTTGGCGCTGCCTTTTTGTTTGGTTTTTTATTCTTTGATTTTGCCTCCAGTTCAGCAGCAGCAGCGGCGGCCGCATTGGCTGCTGCTGCTGCCGCTGCCGCTGCCCGTTTAGCCTCCTTTTTCTTGGCCTTAGCGCTCTTCTCTGGCATTGACGCCGCAGCTGGCGCAACCGGCGCTGGGTTCCTTGTCATTGGCTGGAGAGCAGAGGCCACCATATGACCATTGACAAAGGTATAGAGCAGCTTGTCCTCATCCGGTGAGCTGCCCTTCGCCACAACGGTCACCTGCTGCTCGCCGCCAGCGTGCGGCAGCTGCACGCGACGTATGGTGACGATGCGCTTGGATGGATCAGCGGTTATGGCATTGGCCGCCATGGCGGCGATCACATCACGCGGCAAGTGTTGCTGCTGCTGCTGTTGCGAATGAGGTGGGGCATAGCACACGGGTGTGTGCGATGCCCCAATGTGAGGTGGAAAGTAGGCGGCTGAGCTGATAAAATTGGGGTAATGCGCCGCTGAGGCAGCAGCGGCTGCTGGTGGTGGCAATGGATTCATTGTTGTGCTCACAAGACCACCCTTTAAAATCTCGTCTAGCTGAGCCAGCTTGGCTAATTGCTGCTCCTTGGTGGGCAGATAGGAGAATTTAAATTCGCTGTTCGCCTGCTTAACAGTTGCAATTAGCTCCAAGATAATTGTTTCCACTTTGGCCTTGGCACGCTGCAGATTCTTAATGTTGGCCTCCAGTTCGGCAATGCGTTTCTTTTCGCGTTTGCGGCCGCCAGCAGCCGTTAAGGTTTTCATTTCATATTTGTCAATGAATTCCTTGAAATAGATATCGAGGAACTGACCGCGCAAATCCTCCAGCTCCTTGATGCGTTTTTCCTCCTCCTTGCGCTGCTTTTGCTTAGCTTTTTTGGCTGCCTTCTTGGGATTTGTCGTTTGCGGCTGTTGCGGCTTGCCCTCAATGAAATTTAGCGTCTCATTGATCCAGCGCTTTTGGTCCTGTTCGCGTGTATAGCTGCCCAGAAATTCGGCAAAATCCTGCATCATTTCCTCTTTGCTGTAATTGCTCAGGTCGGCGGGTAAGCTGCCAGCGCTGCTGCTGCCACTGCCGCTAGCCGTGGCATCCGTGTGCATCTGTATGCTCTTACAGAGACTGTCCAAACAGAGCAGACTATTATCGCCATCCTCAATATTCTCGCCAATTTCGTTGAGAGCCGCCGCGGCGGCAGCAGCAGCCGCTGCCGCTGCTGCGGCGGGCATCTTACGTGTGGCGGCTTGCACCTGCGCCGAGGCAACCACCTTGAGTGTGGGCGGCTGCTGTGTGGTCACTGGATCCGGCCTTTTAGTTGCAGCTGGCTCGACGGCTTGCACCTTTGGCACCTGTGGTTTGGCCACCGCCGACGCTTCCTGGCCACACTTGCTCTTCCGATCATTGACAATCTGTGTGAGTTTCTTACGTAAGCGATCGCGCGTCTCGTTGAATCGCGCATGATTGCACTCCTTCTTGACACGCTTTTTCGAGTGGTTCTCCTTGCAGGGCTCCCCAATGTCCGCGTAGTCAGCACAGCCTGCGCAAAACAAAATAATGATAGCTAAAGTTGTTTCTAGATATTATATTAGAGCTGCTCACATTTACGCATCTTTTCCTTGCATTTCTTGGAGTTGTTCGGGTCGTTGCCGGCGCCCGTCTGCGTCGTTTCGTTTATCTTTGACTTGTTTGCCAGACTTGTGGTGCTATCCGGCTTACCACGTTTGCTGCACAAGAAAGGCGAAAAATAATTTAAAGTGCTTAAGTTTTGATTCATGAGCTACCTACATCATTTGCGAGTCATGCAGCTTCATCAGATGATCCACGCCAAATTGCATTTTCTCGATGTTGGCGTCGCCGAGTGTGAAGCTGGGCAAAGGAAAAACCACTTAATATTAATAAAAACTATCATGCGATATCGAGGTGTATTGCATTCAAGGCAATAGATTAATCACAAGTGTATAATTGCCTGAAACAGACTGACAATTGACTAATTTTTGTAGATTGGCACTTTTAACAGAAGCTCCTTTGATTGCAAGATTTGTTTTAAACTTAAAATGGTATTTAGTTGTCATTATAGAGCATCACTGAAGCGCAGCTCTCACGAATGTTATCACACATATACACGTTACACCTAATAGAAATTTGATATATATAAAAAAAAAACAAAATGAACTGGGAAGAGCTGCCAAAAATTTTTTAAGATTGGTATGTTTGGTATAGATGTTCTAAAAAAATGGACTGTTTACATGTTTTCTAAAATTTAGGGAGGTAATCTTCGTATATAACATAGATTGTTGTTGCTGGAAGACTAATTGATTAGCGAAGCATCCTTTTGGTTCAAAAGTGAGCACTAAGGCGGCGATTAAGAAAATTTATCCTCCGGTTCAAATCAGCAATTTGTAATGTTTAAATTTGTTTGTTGTTGTTATTCACATAGAAATAAAGAAAAGCCCTGGCGGTAATTTGAGCGACTTTGTACTGTCTGTTGGCGCGAACTACACAAACATTTCGGGCGACACCGGGCTATGTCATCAAGTAATAAGTTATTATTATAAAAAAAAAAAGTTTCTTACAAACACTCTAATGCTTGACCAGTTGTTTATATGGGTGATGCATGATATAGTCTGATGTGTCCATGTTTTAATGTTTTATATACCTTTAAAAATACAGAAACTAAATTTTAAAAAAAAACAAAACAATATATGACAACATCCTATTTAAAGATAGCTGGCTCTATCTTAGCTTCTGACTGATTCGACAGTCCCTAAGAAACTAATATGCATAGAGCTGTTGATGCACATCAGGAATTTTTAAGCCCTACATTGTTGCAGATGTAATCTTTAATGCGTTAGGCATATGGACACAAAATTAGTATATCCTGTAGAAAAAATTAGGGAAAATCAAACTTACTCGTCCGTAATCTTGAAAGGTGAGTAGCTGAAATGTTAAATAATAAAATTAATAATTTGTCATATGTAGCAGACCGATTTTAAGAATTGTAACATACCCAATGACCTGCGCCAAAAACTGCTCGAAGCGTCCATCGTCCTTGTCACCGACGACGCTGTTCGGGCGCAAGCGCAAATCACCCTTTAGCAGCTCCAGATGCTTAAAGTCGGTAGCCGAGGAATTGAACTTGACAAAGAAATTGGCATAGATCGACAGCACAAAGGTCCAGTAGGTCTTGTAGACATAGTGCTGATTCTTGAGCTCCTGCAGTTCCGCGGGACTAGGTGCCAGCTTGCGATTGAAGAACATCAACGATGGCAACGTGGTGCGCAGCTCCTCACGCGAAAACGATAACGGCTGGAAGCATCGCAATAGATGCTTGGTCAGTGGCGGCGACAGTTCATTGGCAAGGATCTTGCGTGCCAGCTGGCAAGCGGAGACTCGGCAGTTTTCGCCGCAAAAGAACTGCGGCTCGATGCTATCATAGCGATAGCGTTTACGCGTGGCCAGATGCTGAAACACAGCCCATGCCACGTGATATGTGGTGCGCAATGCGGTATCCATCTCCTGACGCCGCAACGTCACACCACTCGGCTCATCCCCAGGTCTACAGATAGCTGCAGCTGCTTCGGGCGGCTGATCGCTGCTGCGACGCTGTTGTGCGGCTGCTGCCGCAGCTGCGGCGCTTGTGCTAGCAGCCACATTATGTTTGGCCTCATCGCTCGTACAGGTGCTCAAGATTTTCGATTTCATCAGCTTGGCGTCTTTCTCAACAATGCCGAGTGTTGTGCACTTGGCACAATGGCCGGCTTGTCGCGGCATTAGAGGTGTACCAGCAATGGAGCAAGTGATGCATTTGCAGTTCCTTGAAACAAAATAGAATGTTTGTTAATAGTTGAAAGAGCTGCAGTTCTATCGATGAATCACTCACTCGTTATGGTGTTCCAGCATTGCATTACACTTCTTGCATAGGTCCTCGTGCACCAGCTTATTTGGCGGATCGTAAAAACCGTCGGGCCATTTGAGCTTGGTGAATGCCATTATATTCTTCCAAGCCAGCTGACGATCAACAATACGCTGAAAATCTATGAACTCATCATCACTGATATCCGGCAGCGAGAAGGATGTGGCATCCATAACGACCTTATCGAATATGTTATACACATCGAGCAGGCCCATGCGACGATCGTGCTCCGTCGGCGACAAGTTGAACTTGTTTAGCTCCATCCAAATGTCCGTCCAGCGGCGCTCAATGGAGTGCATATGCTCATCGAACAGCATATATCGTTTGATCAGCGCCGTTGTCTGAGATGAGCCCTCGCCCTCCTTCAGCGATAATATGCATGCGAGCATGGTGTCGCCCAGCGGATTGAACACATGTTGCTGAAAGAGTCGCTGACACAATAGCACCCAGGAGAGCTTGAACTTGCGCAGAAAATCGTTCTCAAAAGCGAACAGGCTAAGTGAAATCTTCTGTGAGATGCAGTTCAAATCGGAGTAGCCGTCCAATAAATCTAAATGGAAATAAATTAAGTTGGTTATAATACAGAATTAATCGAAATCCAAATGTTTGAGAAATGCCAACAAATAATAGTTATGTACGGGTTGTTCAGATTAAATAGCAATGCATGATTGGGTAATCTGATCTTAAAACGTCATTGTTTATATAACTTAAGATATTTGATACAGTAATCTAATGTTTATAAGTTTTAGTCAAAATGCAAGGAGCGTCATTTAATTTGTATTTGTTAAGTGTGCTTAGGATATCTAAAAAAAAAAACTAACAAACAAACCAACAACAAATTAATATTTTATACAAAAAAAACTAAGGTTTCAATTGACAATTTTTATGACAGCTATGTAATATAGTGGTTTGAACTGGCAGATCCCAACATGTTAACTTCTCACCATAAAAATTTGAACCTATGATAAAACTAAATTGGAATACATTTACCACTACCCGATAGCCTAGAATTAAATGGACATGAAACCATCGCCTAGGCTGGTTAAAAATTAGAATACCCTATGGTGTTGGAGATAAATCATTCAAAGCGTTGCACATTTTGTAAAAAATAGTTATACTCTTTACAAGAGTATTAGAAAGGAAGTTGTCCTTGGCATACATTTTATGACCCTAAGGGTCTCAAATTTAAAATTAGTATAATAGTCAAAAGCCCGCTACAATATTTTGATCACTCATTTCCATTAAACTGTGTGCAACCTACATGTGAGCATCTTTTCGGCAGATATCTTCTCGTTCTCCTGCACATTTTGAGCAATTTCGATCATGCCCTCGGAAAATGCCTTAACAATGCACTCAACATTATAGGCGAGTATTTGTAGCAGCAGCATCGGATTATTGGCCATCAGTCTGCAAGTAAAGTAGGAATGTATATTTGATAATTTGATATATATAGAAGGTAGTACAAACAATTAGATCAACTTACATGGCGCTGAATAGCACTAATATCATATTATCAGAGATCGCAGTATCATCAATAAAATCAAGATATTCGGCATTTTTATCGTAGAGAAAACCGCTTGTAATCCAATAGATTTGCTTATTGGACTCCAATAGCTTCTCAAATTTGTTATAGGCAGCATCATTTCTAAAATAGAAATATACAATGAGAGTATGTTATTTATTTATTGAAAGGAATGTTGCCAACTAACTTCAACATGGGGCTGTATGCCTTAATAAGCACATCGAGCAGCATGACGACCATGTGGGCAGCCTTAAATTGATCCATCATAATGGCCATAATTGTTTCGCGATATTCGAGACATTCCTTGCAGGAACAAAATGTAAAGAACTCTTCCTTACAATGTTTAACAAATATCAAGGCAAGATTCTGAAAATAAAGCTGCAATGGATTAGGCTTCAGCATGACAGTTTCAAGGCAATAGAAGCACACCGTAATTGCACGATGATGTCCGTCGGCACTGCGCAATGGATTGATCTTTGGATCCTCTGAGAATAAACGCATATTCTCAATAGCCATCTGCATGTGCGAAAAATTAATTAACTTGTGTACACAATTTAATGGGACTCTGCTGCACATACCAAATATGAGCGCCTTTCCTCGTTTGGATCATTGCTTTTGGGCTTGCATTCGTGGAGCAACTTATCGCTTAGCTCCATCTCAATGACATTGTCCTCGCGCAGGCTCCATTGCATTAGCGTAACAACTTCCTTGTATACTACATCCGATTTTGGCGCTGGCGCGTACGGATCGAACGGCGGCAGCGCCAGTATCGTGTGCAGCGTATTTATAATGTTGCCCTCGGGAAAATTGAGACGCTCCAGCAGCTGACAAGGTGGTGGGGGCTGGCTGGCTTTGTTACCTGCCTGCTTCGATTGGAGGGGCAATGGCTTGTTGGCGCTGAGCGCCTCTCGCATTGCCGCCAATGCATCACATTTCAGCGGCATGGTGTCGCCACAAATGCGCGGGGTGGCCGCATCAATGGACATTTTCATGCTCACATGATAGCAAGAGGCGGCGTCCAGTTCACCGTTGACAACAGCCTCGGCGGCAGCCACTACATTCGCATCGATGCTGCTGGTACGGATTTTGGCCTTGGCACCCTTCGGCTTGGAGCTGCCGCTGCTGCTGCCACTGCAACTGGGACTGCCGTCGTCCTCGTTGCTGCAACAATTTATGCAAGTTGTTGCTGCTGCTGCATCTGCTGCGTCTGGCACCTGTAACGTTGTGGTGACAGGCATTGTCTTGATGTACGTCAATGCCTTTTCCACTTGTTCAGCCATGTTTATTTGATTTTAGAAATTTGTATATTTTATATATTTTATTTGTATTTATTTTTGGTCACACTCTTTAACATTGAGCCACTACGTCAATTAGGCCAAAACGTAGCCATGGCTTTTCGCGTAACAAAAATTTGAGTATGTGCGACGCATTATTATACAAATCACAGATGCACTTCCGTGGTGGAGACACTTTCACTCGCCTCGTCTCGACCGACCGACCAACCGACCGTCGTTTTCGTTGCTGTTGCTGGCGAGTGTGTGTTTGTGTGTATTTATGTGTGTGTTGTGTCGAAGAAGTCTCTCACATACAGCAAAATGAAAAGAACGCAACGCGTTTTTTCCCAAACGCGCGCGCCTTCAACGAGCTGTGCGCGTTTCTTGGCGTTCGACAATTTGATACGATTACCTTGAAGCGCTTTTAGCCTAATTCGACTGCTGTGCAGTTAAGTATATAGATTTATTTAACAAGTGAAATGTTTGGGATTTTTCGTTTTTGTTTCGCTCGTCGTCCGTTCGGTGCAATTGCAATTTTCTGCCTTGACAGTGTGTGTGTGTGTGTGTGTGTATATACGTGAGCGTGTTTGTATTGGCTCAGCGTTGCACTGTGGTCGATCAGACAAATAGTGGTCGACGATATACATACACAATTGGTGTATTATCGATAGACTAGTATTGGTATAAGCAGGTGGAGACATTGAATGCGAAATATACGTTACAAAATAAAATTGCATATAAATATACATATAAATATATCATTCCATGTAATGTAATGTATGTAATATTATATTTTAAATCCTGTTAGGTTGAAATACGTAATATAATGGAATACATAATGTGTAGTGTGTGTTATAGACCATTTTTGTCAATCTCTATGTTGATAAAGATGTTTTTATCGGGGCTTTAAGCGTCTACACTTATTAATTATTATGTTGTGTTATCACTTACACATAGAGGATAATTGGTCTTCTGCACGATTTACGGGACATACATACATACATATATTTATAAAATTCACAATTATTTGCTGCCTAAAGATATGCAATAAAAGTTGTTATGGGCCTGGGAGCGCTTATGTTAATCCCCGGTGGCTGCCATTTCAATGAAATGTATTTCTTAACCACCAAATTAAAGAAATATATGCCCTTTTGAACTATTAAATATATAAATTAAAATCTTATTACAAATGTATGTGTTATATTCAACCTAACCTGACTTTCTCTTCTTAATGAGTCCTTAAGAAACAAAATAAGTTTATTTGCTATACCCTAAGAATAGCTAAACTAAATGTTTTTTTTTAACTCTCTAACTCAACGTTCAAAGTTTGTCGAATAAAACCGGAAATATGACTAAAATAAATATTGAAATAAGTTAAGTACCCCGCTGCACTTCAGCCACCTAACTGTATTTTGGCACGATTAAATGTCGAATCAAGTTGCCTATATTTTTATTTTTATGCAGCAAATGAGAAAACAGGTTTCCGGCTTGTGTGCACAATTCTCAACCAATGATGCCTTATCAATTGTTTGCGATGCTCCCAGTTTGATTTCAAAGCACCAAACACTGCTGCTTCCAGCGCTTTACTCAGTTGTCGCTTAGACGTTGGCACGGAAAGCTCGAATTCCGGCTTATACTTAGATTGAAATTACGCGAGATCAGAATAAAAAAAACGATGTCAAGAGCGTTGCTTCTGCTTTGCGTACAATTGTGGCTCGTGCCAACCTTTGTGCAGGGAGATGGCATGATAGAGGTCTTCAAATGGAAACAAATGGATTACTACAATCGCGGCGATGGTCAACCCGGTCGACGCCCGGTTCCGTCAGGTAAATCAACATACAATTCATGTGTCTTTATCAGCATAAGCTGGGAGTTCAACAGTTCAAATATACACAGCCAGAGTTTCTATAGAAACGGCTATTCTATTTTATTAAACAAACTATCTAAAAAACTTAATGAGCACATTCAATGCAAGTTTTTTCAACATTTTGTAGTATTGATGTTCATTTTGAGGTGTTTTTCCCACCAGGGCCAGTCGTGTTCCCAGGTCGTTATGGTCGGGAGAGACCTGTGCGAGCAAAACGTGAGGTGTTTACCTCGCGTGATATACCCGAGGGGCTTAACGCGCGCAGCGATTTCAATAATGGCGATACCGCTCCATACATACCCTACAATAATGTGCCAATGGGCGCGACACATTTTCGAGGACGCCTATTTGTCACCATGCCCAGACGACGTGTGGGCATACCTTCGACCTTGAATTTTATAGACATGCGACGTGATAGCACACAGAGCAGTCCCAAGCTCTACGCGTATCCCAACTTTGAACTGAATCAGTTTAATAAGAGTGCGCAGAATTTGGTCTCCGTTTATCGCACCACGGTGGATGCTTGCCAGAGATTATGGTTCATTGACACTGGCATGCTGGAGTATCCAAGTGAGACTAGATCGAATTTAAATTTAACCAACGTATATTTAATTGTGCTCTTCGCATTAACCAGATAATCGGCAGCAAATTAGGCGGCCTAGTATTTGGATAGTAGACCTTAAAACTGATCGCCTAATCAAACGCTTTGACATACCGGAAAGCATTGTTGAGACGGGTCGTGGTCTGGCCAGCCTGACCATTGATATCGAAACGGCTGAGGAGTGTGATCAGGCTTATGCCTATATCCCAGATCTGGTCAATAGCCGTCTGTACGTTTATAGCCTGGCGACAGATCGCATATGGTCCTTTGCGCACAACTACTTCAACTTTGATCCTGTGGCCGGTGATTTGAATATAGGCGGTCAGTCTTTCCGCTGGGATGATGGTATCTTTTCCACTACAATGGGTGCACAGCAACCGGATGGCAGTCGCGATGTCTACTTCCATGCGATGGCCAGCAACAATGAGTTTGTCGTCTCGAATCGTGTGCTACAGCTGGAGTCAAATGCGGCGCGTTCCGAGCATGGCAACGATTTCCGTTTGCTGGGCAGCCGTGGTCAAAATAAGCAATCCACAATGCATGATTACGATCGGAAGACCGGTGTTATTTTCTATGCTGAAATACAAACGAATGGAGTGGGCTGTTGGAACACAAATCAGCCGTTCTCGGCGGCAAACCATGGTACCGTGGCATCAAATGAACAAACTATGATCTATCCCAGCGATTTAACGGTCAGAATACATATCTTAATTTACATATCTATTATGAATTATAAATTTTTTTTCTTGTAGATCGATGAGGATGGCAATATTTGGGTCATGACCAATTCGATGCCCATCTTCATTTACTCCACTTTGGATAGCAACGTATATAATTTTCGCATCTGGAAGCAGAATGTAAATGAGGCCAAACGCAATACAGTCTGCGAGTAGTTTTATGTATATGGAATTGCTTTAATGAACTCTTTGCAATGATGTTACATAATAATATATTATACTTGTTTGTTTTAATAATGTAATAATTGTATACTGACAAAATATTAACACAAAAATTACATGGGTATATATGTATAAAACAAATTAAAAAGCATTTACAAATATATCTTTTTAAAAATTGCCTAAATTTGAGTACTCAGTTTATCACATCTTAAAGTTACATAGATGTTTTTATTTTTGCCATCAAAAACAAATCGATTAAAAAACACATATTAAAAAATATCAAACAAAATCAGAGGCACTCTAATATTGCATAAGGATACTAAGTTGCACAGTTTTGTATAATACGCGTGTGTATATGGTATGTGTATATTCAATTCAATTTACGAATATAAAATGTTTGAAAAATATTCGAATTAGCATAAATACTTGTGATTGTTTACATTTTTTGTTTTGTAAATTTTCATAATTTCGTTTCTATAATATTCAAACAAATTTGACGTGTATATTCTCAAAGTGACCGCTTTATATAGTTTTCTATATAAACTACTTATACAAAATTTGCAAAAATATATGTATATGCATTTCCGTCCATGCTCGCTTGTATATATATTTTAGTACAAAGTAACTCTACATATAAAAGATGACTATATAGCATTTCGTTAGCTTAAGTAAACATGCATTTTAATGTGGAAAATGGAATGGTTATCTGGCCCAGTGTTATACAAAAATATACACATATAACATAGTATAACAGTTTCGAGTTTCTACACAGCTATATATCTCCCTATATATATATATATATGTACTTATTTTAAACCGACCACTTTTGAAGTGAGGCTGTAGCCGACATTTTACTGTACTAGATAATCCTTGTAGCCGCGCAACGATTTCAGTTGCTTCTTCAATTTGGTTATCAAATCCGACGGTTGCACCAATATCGATATATCCCTGCCCACCGAATTTAGGCGATCGCGTATTTCTAAATCCTTGAAGAACAGATTTAACGGTCGACCGTTAATTTCCGTGAGTATCCAAAAAGTCAGCGTGCTGCCATCGCATGACTGAGCCTGCAAAAAGTTAATTAATAAAATTATCATTAAGAAATTATTGAACACTTGTATGCAAGTCACCTTGGGCGGTAATCCATGCCTTGCCGCCAAGCTGTTGGGTACCACATCCACTATGGTTGAGGTATTGCCATCACGTATAAGTCCCAAGCACTGACCGTCGCGATCTCGGCGTATGGCATAGGCACGACCAAAGGGTATGCGACGCAGCAGCACTTCGACCTACAATAAAAAGTTTGAACCGAATAATTACTCTCGCCTTTTTAGTGAAAAATACTATCTTTTGAGATATAAGGACAGTGCCTAATATAATCTTGTAAAAAATTTTTAAAATAAGATTTATGGATATGGTTAACCGACTTAAAGCGCCGTTTAAGCTTTTAGATTTAGGAAATGCCCCACAATTGGCTGAAAATCTAATATGTGGGTAAGTACGCACGTCCAAAAAACGACACAGATTTCATAAATTTACAAAAATGCACGTCCACTACTAGAATATAAGTAAAAATGTTAAGAATTACGTAACAGGCTATAAGTAATTGCTACAGTAAATATAAGTATTTTAAGGTTGGGCGTGTTTGCAGTTAATCAACTGCTAGCTGGTGCATATTCGCACTATAAATACTCACAAATAACGTGTTGGTATTGCGTATTATTTTGTTGGCCTCGGCGGCGCTGCTAATGCTAACGCCCGCAATGGAGAGCAGCTGATCGCCAATGTGCAGGGCATTGTAGAGCACCGGATGTTCCTTTTGCTTCCAGCCGGCAATCCTGAAAATGATTCGAAAACAAATTTATAGTTTACTTTCCTTTTGACGCCATGTAATCTACTTACCAGACGCCCCCGAAGGCATCCACCCAGGCAATGGAGCCAACGCAGTCCTTGCGTCGCAGATTCAGACGCACACCACCCGGATGCATGATCTCACGGCGCAGCTGCATGACTTGCTGTTCGCGCAGCGTCAATCGCTTATTGCTGCTGTTCGACTGTGCCGTTGCCTGTGGCGGAGATTGCATGCGAAAAGCAGCCGTTGCTGCTGCACTGCGTCCAGGCACAAACTCATTGTTGTTGGCGCCACGCTGACTGCTTGACTGCGTGGGTGCGGCGACTGAGGCGCCACGTTGTAGCGGCGCCTGCGCATCAGATGTGGAGGAGCTGCGCCTGCGCTGCTCGATGCTGTCCGTGTTGGTGCTGGCGGCAACATGGCTAGTTTGATCCCTTGTCGCATTGCTGGCGCTGGACGTACAGTGAGCAGCAACCTGCTCAATATTATTGTTTGCATTGGTCCTGGAGGCTGTTGCAGTTGTTTTCGTTTTGAGCGGCGTATTGAGTAGCTTTAGGTAGTGGAAATCACGTCGACTGGGTCGTGAGCTAATGACCAGCTCAGTCAGGCCGCGCGTTAGTTGTGGCCTAGCACGCTCACCGTTCGGCGTGGGCGAGGCAATTGCAAGTCCACGACGTGGCAATGCGGGACTGTTTTCCGCGCTGACAACAGCATTGCTTGGGGTTTGGACTGTGGCCTGGGCTACTTGGCTACTCGTGGGGCGTTGCTCCCGCACGGCTATGCTGGGGCTACTGCTGCAGCTGCTGATGGGAATACTCGACGATAGGAAAACCTTCTCGTAGTGCACATTGCCGCTAATCACATTTGAGTCCACCGCCTGCTCATTGTTAATGCGTATGTGCGTAACACCCGAGCTGTTGGCGCTGAGTATGATCTTCTTGGACATCTTAGGCGTTAGCGGATCGCTGGCTGTCGGATAGCAGGTGCCGTAGACCGCCACAGTGGTAGCCGTGGGCTTTGGTGCCGGTGCAATTGTCTCGCCATCGGCCATCACTTGAACCATTGTGGTATTGGCATTAGCATTTGCTGCCGTGGAAGCATTTGGAGTTGGCGTATTGGAAGCATTCTGGTTTAATGGTATGGTATAGGGATTGCTGCAGCTGCTGCTGCTCGGCTGGCTCAGCACCTGTATCGTATTTGAATTGGACGGAATAATTTGTACGTTGCTTTTATAATCGTTTTGTGGTTTTTGTTGTTGCTGTAGCTGCTGCTGCGTTTTCGTTTTGGCTTTTACATTGATCTCAGGAAAACGAAATATATCCGCAATTATCTTGTTTTTGGGCGGCAATACGGGCGGTTGCGCCTCGGTCGTAGTAGTAGTATTTGTTGTGTTGGACACTTGTATAATCGTTATATTGTTATCCCCATTCTCCTCGACTGCGGATGAGTTAGTCGCTGCCGCTTGTAGTTTGGGCTGCGGGGATTTGCGTTGCGGCTTCTTGGACTTGTCAGCGGCGCCTGCTGACATGGAACGTGATGTTTGGGGTCTAAAGAGGAAAAGAAATAAATCATTTTTAAGATAAATATATAATTAGTAAGCCTTAAATTAAAAGAAAAAAGAAGCTTTCTAAATTGTTCTTGGTAGAAAAGTTATTTGACTAGTTCAATCATTAAGAAGGCGTCGGATTCAAGTCCCCAGCGTGGGGTTGGATATTGGATACTTATAGATATTAATTTAAGAAAACGTCTATCTTCAGCAAGAAGATGTATTACTCTTGAAGCTTACGGTTTTGAAGATCTCATAGGCGAATTGTAAAGCTCGTAATTGCTGATTTTAGCATATGTATATTTGAGAAATCGTACATTTTTCTATATAAAAACTCATTTCTTGTTCGACTTATCTCATAAACTTATATGGTATAATAGTGCGATATTTATAGAATTTCGCTCATATAAAAGGATATATTAATATGAATAATGAAACCTTAATCCATACACCCTCAAATTGCTGCGAGTTAGCAGCAAATAAAAGAATACATCTTTCAAACATTAAGCTTACAGAATGCTGGGTTCAACAAATATCTACTAAAAAGACTTAGTCAGGCTTACGTTACAGTTGCCGAAAGTCAGTCCGAAACTATACCTATAATATATTTTTTAAAATGACTGAGCAATTTGCTTTAACAGATGAAAAGCTGGACGAGCTATTCGTCAAGCAGGTGGGCAGCGTGACGCAAATAGTGGAAAAGTTGCCCCGCAATAATGTTATTATGTCCACATGCGCACGTTGGTTCAAGATCTTTCAGCATGCCACGCCCGAGGAGAAGTTTGCTCGCAACTGTATGCTGCTGTTGTTGCACAAGCAGCTCAACGATCAGAACACACTGAGCTATCCATTCACCGATGCGCGCAGCTGCCACCGGGATCTGAGGACGCTGCATCAGATGAGCATTGCATTGCAGCATACAAGGGGTAGTGTTGATGATGATGATGACTGCGATAGTTTCTGCAGCATAGAGTATAGTTCGCCTATCAGTATACATTCCTCAGGCATTAGCTGCAGAGAGAACGTGCTGCAACGTCTGGAGAATGCCAATTTGCTGTTGGCGGAGCAAAATGCAGCAATTTCTGATGAGCTGCAGGTGTTGCAGTTGGAGAAAGAGAGTTTGCTGGAATGTCGCCAGAACTTTTATGCCAAAGCCGAGGCGCTGCGCAATCATAATAATATGTATTGTAAGGAGATTGGTTATATGAAGCATATTTTTGCCTGTTCAGCTGTAACGGCCCTGAAACTGTTTGTCGAACCAACTTTCGCGGAGCCGATACATTATTTTGTGACGCTTTTCTCTGTTCTGTGTGAAGATGAACATGATCGGGAGCATTTCGAGCAGCTGGATAAGCAGTTGGAACGATTACTGCACGCCCACATGGACTATTATACGCGCTTATCAATACAATATCAGGTCGGCAGGGCATACGAGGAAATGCGTGCCAAGGTGAGCAAACGCTACAAAAAGGTGCTCAAAATGCTGGAGGCAACGCGGGTGGAAGAGCTGTCTTTAGCGGGCATGCGCTATCTGATGATGCTGCGAAAACTCTTTCTGGACAGCTACAAAGGCGACGAGCATTCAGTGCGGGCGGTGCTCATGTTCTTGCAAGAACGCCACGATGAGCTAGCTGAGGGGTTGTAATGAGTTTTCCACATTTACCTGGGTATTAAACGTTCGCATTGAAGCATTTGGTCAAAATTTAAGATTTGATCTGTAACAAAGAGTGTTTTGGAAATATTGTTATCGTTGATGCTGAGCTATGATTGAGCACGAGCACTTACCCGCTGATATGCGTTGCGCAGATGCAGCAGCAACATCCACGCGTACGCCATTGCGTAGTATGGGCGTTAGAAACTCATCATCGGACAGATTTAAATCAGTTGCAGTTTCGCTTGGCAGTTCAGTTGCAATTGCATGGGGCTGTTGAGCGTCCTCCTGTTCCTCGGCGACAGCTGTCGTCGCTGTTTCGTTAATTTGTTCGCTGTACGTGCTTATCGGATCCGAGAGCATATTGAGCAAATGTTGTGTTAAGGTATTAGACATGGCCGTTGTTGGGGGCGGCGGTGGCGGCGGCACTGCTGCTGTTGTTGTTGTTGCGACAGCTTCTATGACTGGTGGCGGCGCCACTGTGGGTGCGGCTCGGGATATCTGCTCATTGGCGGCTGCCGATTGATGCTGATGAGCCGGAATGCGCTCCACGCCTGGCACTATGGCCGCCGGTACTGGTGGTGGTGCAGGCAACGGTGATGTTGGATCGCGTGTGGGCAGCAATGGAGCGCGCACTTCAGGTAACTTTGTGTATAGGTTTTCACGCGGCGATAGAATTTTCATTTCGCGCAGCTTGGCTCGCAACGTTTCCACCCATTCTTGCATAATCTCCCTGCGGTAGGCCAATAAAATATTGTTAACGCAATTGCAGTTGAGCGTTGAGCGCAACTTACCATGAAACGGCATGAAAGCGCAACACCTCATTGCTGAGCGTTACAACAAATTCAAACTCATGGGAATTGGGTATGAGGGCGTGTGATATGTGCAGCGTGTCCCGCAGCGATACGGCCCATTCAGGCATATGGGCTGCCGCCTGCCGTGGCTCTGCATAGCCCTCTAGCAGTGCTTCGGTGTCATCGTGTACGCAAAATACCACCCAGCTGCACTCTGATTTCTGCAAGTCTAGTTAGTTATCTACCTGCAAGATAAATTGTTAAACTATTTACCTTGGGACCTACGGTTAACTTTTTGCCATCGGCCGTCAGTCGTTTCAACCACGTATTCTTATGTATTTCACGAAATTGCGCCGCGCTAGCGCTTGACGCGATTGCAGGTGCATTTGCAGGTGTTGTTGTCGCAGTTGTGTTTGCAGCTGGCACTGCTGCAGCAGCCGCAGCCATCTCTTTAGCCTGCCTTGCTCTGCTGCTTGTTGCTACAATGCGCGCTGATTGATTGCACTCAAAATATTTCACATTTCACACAATTTATTGCAAAATTTTCTCCGTTCGCTTTAACAACAAAATCATCCAGAAATTGGCGACGACGCCATGTTTGCTATCAGCAATTTCTTATCGACTGCTTTTCGATAATTATCGTTTTAAATTGCACTAATATTGTGCGCGGCTTGTTTGGGCGTTGCCATATTTTGTACAATTGAGTTGAGTGTTGAAAATAGCGGTTTTTTTCGTATGGATTTTTTATACTGTTGTATGTTATTATAACTTTTTCATGAAATGTGTAACACACAGGAGACATCTCCGACCCCATACAGTATATATACTATAGATCAGCATCAACGGTAATATAGTATGATATAGTGTTTGTACGTCTATCTGTTTCCATGCAAACTAGCCCATCAGTTTCAGAGCTATCGTTATAAAATTTTATAGATCCGTCATTCTGTTTCCGGCAGTTCATATGTTGGAAATTGGAACGGTCCAGAAAATTAGGTTCTTGTATGAAAAACTCAGGCAATAACTATTAATTATCAAGATCGTACTTCTATATTATATAGGAAAAATATTTTGTATCATACTCTCCCGTTTAAGAGCCCCACTATTCCAACATATCTGAAAAACCGTTAGGTTAATGTCTACAAGGGTATTCAATATTCGACGTGCCAAAGATATACAGTCAAAACCCTGTTGGTATAAAGGGAAAGAAAGTATATCATTATGTTATTATCCTATTCCTTAGAAGTCAATAAGTTCCATATACATTTTTAAAGAAAATGAATACATAAGTTTACATATGTATGTTCATTTTTCACACAAATGCGTCTTTAAATTCACAGAACTAAGAAAACCCTTTGTTAAAGCGTTTAGAAAGCTCATTTTCAAATTATAGACTTTTCTAAATAAAATTAAACATGCTTATGGTATAATACTTCTTTTTATTGGGATTTTAAAAATAGTTTTTTATATTTTTTTTTGATTGGTTTTTTATCTTTATATCACACATAACGTAAATAAGATCTTTTTAATGCTGTCCTTACTATCTATAACTAACCGAAACTATTTATTTCTACATCCGAAAACAGAAGTAAAAGTAGAATTTTAATTAAATTTGTGTACTTTTATGCATTTGCGTTTAGTGCAAATTGACAAAAATTAATTTAGGCTTAAACTTTTACAAAAAAAATATGTATTGCAGCGCATAAGATTAATACTAGATATACATAAACACATGCATATACGTATATATATATATATATATATATATGTCATTAAACATTAGTACGTACATCAATTATCTTAGTATTTTTTTTTTAAGTTTTGTTACTTATTTACAACTGCAAACTATGCGAGTTAAAGGGAGGTAAAGTCGCTATTTTTGTAACATAGACAGAACGTATAACGAGTTAACAATTATTTAATGAAAAAAATAAAGGCCAATAAACAATAAACTTAAATCGAGTTTAGGTCGTGGGCTTTTGCATAAAATTAATTACAATTAAAGTCTTTAAAAAGAATTTTAATTAATCAAAGTGACGGCTAAATATTCGGTTGGTATTCAAACACAATTGAGTCTTGTAGTTGTTACATTTGCTTTTGCTGGAAATTTATATATATAATAATTTTAGGTTTCTAAATAGAAGTTGCAATTCACAGTTAGTTTTGTGTAAAAAGTCATTTGTTTGTATGTTTATACGAAAGTTTCACTAGCTTAAGCACGACACGTCTATAATTGGCTCGAGATAGCAACCATTTTCTTGTTAAACGCGAAATTTGATGCTCGTAGTATTCTAAGTTAACGGGCATTACTCCATTTTTACTTTTTTATGTATATATATTGTATTTTTTTTTCTTTTTTTTTTTTTTTGGGTTGTATCAATTTAAGATTTTTTTTTGTTTATGGTATTCGTTTGCATTTCGGTTGAGTTGGTTAATGTACATATCATAACGTGTGTGTGTATGTGCGCGTAGATTTCTTCAATTTTGTATTATATATTTTTTTTACTTTTCGACATGTTGCCTGTTTGAAAAATGGCTTGTTTTTTTTTTGTTTTTTTTTTTTGGTAAGACATGGGAGGTGAATATCATATATAAACGTTTATCGAGCTATTGCATGGGATGTTGGAATATCCTCGGTATGTCACTTATCAGACACTTATCTGAAAGCGCTGCTGTGTGAGGCTATATAGTTCAGACTATTGGGGCCGGGCTTACGAGGCTATAAAATCCATTTGATGGCAGAGTGGTACAAATTCGTCAGCCATAGGATTTAGTACGGACTTCTCAACATTACATTGACTCTTTGGTAGCGCAGATAAGGCTGTATTTTGTTCTTCCGTTCTGCAAAAGGAGAAAGTAGCGTTATTTTCAATTATATATTGTATTTATTTTTTCTTATTTTTTCTTACTTTGCCTTTTCCCATTCATTGATTTGCTCTTCAAGCTCATCCTCGATCATGGCCTCAAAGCACTCTTGCATAATTTCTTCCTCCTCCAGACGTTGCAATTCCTGCAGATGCCATATGAATCAAACAAAACTCAAACTTTAGTGTATTGGTTAACTTTTCTAAGACTTACGTTCTTGTCGAATTCCTCCTCGTTCTCCATCCACATATATTCTGAGAAATCTGGCTCATCGTCAAAGTCAGACAGTGATTCGTCGTCGTCCACCACGTAAACTATTTGATCCGTCCAATCAACAGATGGTACTTTTAACAACATGGTAGTGCTGCAAGGAGAATCATTAATTATTACACTTAAAAGCCAGTAAAAATGCGAACCAAGTGCTCGACTACGAGGTACCCTAATCTTATTATAAATGTACGTACAGTAAAAGTATTACTTTTTTATTCATGAAAAATGTGAGGTAGTAGTAAAGATTGAGAGATTGCTAGAGATTTGGAGAGATTGGTGGAAAGAGAGAGCGGGAGTTACAGATGGACACTGAGATCTCTACATCGAGGTAGGGAATTGCACCGAGATAGAGAGAGGTATTCAGAAAGAAAGCAACTATATTATACTGAGGAGGCTACGGTTTTTCATTGCTAAATAGACATCAAAGTTAATGAAAATCGCATAGAAAGGCACTTGCAAAGAACCGTTAATCGTTCATTTTAAGTGACGGGAAAAAATTTGAATTTTCATTATCAGCGTTTATTTTTGTATATAATCACAAGTATATATTTATAAGCGCATCAACATTGCAATGTAGCCAACTCGGTCAGGAATATATGTACATACATGCAATACACATACTACTGCCTGTTATTTACATTTTCTCAACTTCTTTAGTCTTTTTACGCACTTATATACATATATACATATTTACAGCTGCGGGAAAAATAATAGCTTAACCTTCACAAGGAATTTTTTCAAAAGCGTCTATTTCATTTGTAAGATTTAGTAAATTTTAAAAATGTTTTGAGTATTTTGCAAAAAAAAAAATTTATCAATAAATCAAAGAAATTAAGAAGTATTATTTTTTGTTAAGCTGCAACTGGCTATATACATATATATAAGATAATGTACTGTGTGATGAACGTATGTATGTTTGCTTGTTTTGTACCGGTAAGAAGCTGTTAGTTGCGTCGTTCTTCTTGAAACCGGTTTGACACATTTAACAATCGTTCAATTTAGATAAACAAAAGAAAAAACCGCACCACTTAAGCGAATTTCAATACAAATGCATATACCTAACTGCACATATGTACGTTTGTTTATATAAAAGCGCAACAAGTAAACGAACATTTTCTCTTTTCTTTTTGCGCAATTTTTTCGTTTATGTGAGTGAAGTCAATTTTTTGCGCTGTGGGGCCAACGCGACGCATAAAATCTTTTTAAAATAAAAACAGAATTACTAAGCAAAAGAGAAGAGAAGCACACACACGTACGCAGAGACATAGAGCAGAGGAGAACAAGACACCAAAGGCAATTGTTTATAAACAAGTGGTATATATGTACATACATATGTATAACACATACATATACACATATAGTTTTGATAAGCGGTATCAAAGAATTATTGAGTTGTATGTGTGTGCATATCAGCATAATATATTTAATGGTTTATTGGTACGCCGTTATCACCTGTTTGGGACGTGAACACAAACAACTAACAAACAAAATAAAACTAAAAATAAATTTGACTATGACGTCGTCTTGAATTTATGCAAAACGCAATAAGACAACAAATACATATGTATGTATGTATATACATTTATACGGATCGGCTCGGACATCGCGTTGCTCGGTTCATGGGTGTAGTTAGCTTTTTTTTTGTTATAGCGCCAAACAAATAGCTCGCTGTGTGTGAGAGTGCGAGAGACAATGTATGTGTGAACGTGCGGCCCCGCACATAAGCACAAACACAAAACAACATGCACACTCACACATATACAAGTGTTGCTCTTGCTACAGTTGCCATATTGCGAAAAAATTAAAATGTATTTGCTTCATGAACTCAACAGACACATACATATGGTTTGTGGGCATATAATTTTAAACGATCACTTTTTTTATACAAAATACATATGCATACACACACACGCACACTCATACACACGAATGAATGAACCTCCCTCAACTCGGCGCAAGCAGTTAAAACAACACGGTGCACTCAAGGTAACAAGTGTTTCGAAAAGCTTAAAACATTCGACAAAAGAATTAATATTCGTGCTTATTTTCCTTTTTGTTTGTAATTACGTCGCCAACAAAAATCTGGTTATAAACAATAACACGTAGCATAAAATTCTTTACCCAGGGACTAAATCTAAATGGCAGCCTAACCGGGCAGACGTCACCGCTCTACGCCGTCGACATTTTAGCGTTTATTGATTTGTCAAGAAGCATTCGTTTGAGGAAATGCTAAAAAGCCCGCAATTACAAATCAGGAAACGTTTAGCTGCACCACCTGCCTTATGCTTCCGCCTTTCGATGCACGCAAAACAGTGAATTTATAAAAATTAACTAAATAGTTAAAGCAACTGATGGTTGTTTTTTTTTTCGGGCGCAAGAGTTGATTCATTTTGTACTCACTTTGCAATTTTACTTGAAGAGCTGCCAAATTGAAGTCTATGTTCTGCTTGTTGATCTTCCACTGAGAATTTTGTATTGCAAAAGTATAAAGGGAGACACTGACAATTTATTGTTGCATCCAGATAGAAAACACGCAAATTTTTCTATTGCGAAACCAATTCAAATGCTGTGTGCGGAAACACGTCCATGAACGTCAAGCAAACGAATCGAAAATGATTTATAAAACAAAAACTGACAGACGATTAATTTTGTACAGCTGTTTGGATTTAGACGAGTACATCGATAGTTATTTTAGCAATTCTTTATAGAATCGATATGTCGTGAGCTTATGGGTATCTGTCAAAAGTTGCATGGTTAATCGATTAATTTTTGACACAAAATACAAAGCGCGCAATTTAAACAATTTCGCTTATAAAAATGAAATAGTATAATAGTTGGGAGACCGAAAAACAGGTGAAAATGTAGTATCTTTATTCATTATGTTGTAAACACTTCCCTGGATTATTCGTTTAGCAAGGCTAAACACTTAGAAGGGGTAAATATAAAATATATTAACTGAAATCAATATAAGACTCTTAATACCTCTAATATAATGTGTTGGTAGATATATATTTACATACTGTTGACGTCTAGCGAGCAAATATTTATATCAAATGCAGTAACGGAGGTTATTCCACATGATATATTGCTGATACAATCAGAAAACTTTACCGACTTTCACAATTTTTATCAGATCTTTTTTAATTTTTTAAACAAAATAACAAAGTAGTTTACAATAGTTGAACCATGGCTATTGTTGTTTTTTATAGTGACGCGCACATCGCTTTTTATTCTATTTTATTGTATAGTTTTTACTGACAAAAATAAAATTTGACAAAGAGAAAGTTAAAAACAATAAATAAATTGATATATACGCAAATATACGCTAACATAATACATAAACACAAAACATTGGACGGATTAAATAAATATGTACAAAAAATTATTGATTATGTCTGGGGACTTTCCAAATTTGGCGTTTCTCGAGTAGAATTGTTAGCATTTGTTGGAGATGTCGACGTCTGGCTACGAGGATCCCATGGCTGTAATGCTGTGCTACTGCAAAGCCCAAACACAATTATAGCCAGTGCATTAAAAAGGATCAGCGTTAGTAAGACACAATTCCACTCGGACTTGATGCCCTAAAAAATAATTATAAAATATCACTTTGGGATTAGAAGTGTATGTGGTAGGGACTTACGGTATGCACAAATTTGGCTATGACATGGGGAGCCAGAAATCCGGACATATGGCCAAGACAGTTGGCCAGACCTGAAATCAGACCAGCAAAAGAAGGCGCAAAATACAATAAAGTAGGCCAGTAGCCGCCACTAAAGCCCATATCCGTGGTAGATCCCAACAGCACAAAGATAAGAAAAACGAGTGTCTTTTGCTCACAGCTCGCGATTATGATGATACCAATTAAAATTATGGTTACACTGGAGCCTATTGTGAGAAAAGAAAATAAAACAAGTAAGAGGCTCTAGTCGGGAGTTCTCGACTAGGGTATACCCTGAACCCTCTCCTATCAACGCCAAATGTAGCTCGCGCTACGAGCCCGTTTGCTTTACTAGTAATAAAAATAAATTAAAAAACAAAGTTCCTTCAATAAGACTCGAACCCGTAACAAGCCACACCACCTACCACCGCCTCTACTCAATAGCCATACCACCAATTGACTCTTGGCGAGAAAAGACGAATTAAAATAGCAACACATTCACACAGCTCAGAATACGATACAATCACAATTGCAATGCTGTTGCTAGAATTTCATAAAGACTCGGATGAATGTGTTTGTATACAGATATTCTTGCAATTTGCGCTAGCTGCAGCAAACACAAGGCCAGCTAAAACACGTTTTCTTTAATAGCTTTTGTGTTTCTTAATCGATATTGATGCCGTCTTCAAAAGTAGATCTTGTTATGCTATAGAATATTCGTTTATTCTCAACAAGACAATTGCATTACAATTGTGGCTTAAAGGGGTGAGAAGTTCCAATTGGTTTGTTTTTTAAATTTATAGCTATGTTGTGTAGGCGGGAGGGTGGCTATAGTTATAAACTGAAATATATTTAAATAATATTTACTATTCAAGAAGCTACTTGTAACATTTGGTGTCTCTAGCTCTGTTAAAAAAACAGGATTTCTATATCGATACTTATCGATTACTTGGAAACGGGACAAGTTATCGCATGCACTAGGAGGATCTTCATTCAAATTGCAGCTCTTAGCTCTTATAAGTTCTGAGATCCTTGCGTTCATAAATATGGACAGAAGGATAGACGGTCGGACAGTCGGACAGACAGACGGACATGGCTAGATCGACTTGGCTATTGAAGCTGATAAAGAATATATATACTTTATGGGGTCGGAGATGCTTCCTTCTGCCTGTTACATACATCTGCACAAGTACATTATACCCTTTTACATATTTTGAAAGGGGTTCAGGGTATATTTAATAATTTGACCGAAGGTTCAATTGATTTCTTCTTGTTATATGCTTACAGACGGTGTATAAAACTCGACGCAGGCAGCTAAGATTGGCAAACAATCGTCTCTCTAAATAAGAACAACTGAACACGCATATTACTTTCGAAAGCAGGGAGCCGATAAAAGGTGCCGAAGACAGTAGCCCAATCTGTAAGAAAGATAAGTTTCAAAAGGTTTAAGTTACAAATGCTTATATAGAACCTAACGATTATTTTGTGTGAAAATAAGTTAAATAATAATAAACTAAATATAAGAGACGTTTTAGGTCTTTAATAATTTGATAAAGATTTTAAAATCTTAGAGCACAATTTAAGTTATAACAACAAAAACCTAACATCTTTTGCACGCCGAAGATTAAATACCCTTGTTGACAATTTACAGATATGTGAGGAGAATTGTGAAGCTTTTAAGCTTTAGATTCTTACTACTCACCTCTTTCAGATTAAACTGCATGGCCTCACGCATGAAACGTGGCATTACTAGCGATAACACCAGAAAGGTGTAATTGTGGAAGACATGGGTAAGGACAAACGCATAGACAGGCAAAGAGGTCAACATGGAACGCCAGGGTATGCACAAATGCTGCAAGAAATCACAAAATGTAGGTCAATCGTTCAATTAGTCAATCAGCAACTACTCACCTGTGGCTTTTGCGCAAACTGCTGCAAATACTCACGCTCTTTAGCTGTCAGCCGTGGATGCTGTTCCAAGCTATTATAAATAAGCCAATTACAACTTAGGCCATATAGCATTGAGACGCTGCCAAGCACATAGAATGGTACTGTCCAGCCAAAATCGCTGAGGTAACTTGCAAGCGGATATATGCCAATTGAGCCCACAATCAGGCCGCTATAGGCAAAGGAGAGCATCGATGTGCGCTCCGTGGGATGTGCCCAGGTAACAAACAGCTGATACAAAGGCGGCGTGCCACAGCCCTACGATGTTGGATGTAAAGCAATGCATATATATTAGTGGGCGTTTAGGCAAGTATGCGTATGTTGCGCTCAAGAGCTTAAAGATTTCGATGCTTTTATATGGGTGTGCCCTGTACATGACAAAAGCTTAACAACTAGAAGAAAGAAACTACAAATTTAAGACGCTACACTTCACCTTGGCCCATTTTCCGAACAGTTTAAAACATATCTTATAAATCTTTGATAATCGCATTATTATGAGTTCAACGTTGATAGGATGATGATGATACAAAAGTTTTAATAAGCGTTTTCCGCCAATTTTCCACTGTGGTGGGTGATATTTTCAAAAAGGTCGAAACACGTATTTATTGTATGTAGATCTTGGAAAATAATGGATGAAACTTGGCCCATTTGAGAGGAGTTTAAACCCGAAACGTTATCCACCAAATCTTTGGATACCGTTTCCACAATAGAGGGGTGGATTTTGTGAAAATTGTGAAACATATAAATTGCATTTTCACAAAGAGCCCACATTTGTCCTCTAGGAAAGGGTGAATTTTGCGAAAAGTACAAAACACGTCCCAAATCTATTTTCAGAAAAATCTTTGAAAATGAGATCGGATGGTAAACGAAAACGTGTTGTTTGTTATATGGTCTTTCACCAATTTTCTACAGATGCACGTGAAATTCTCAAATGTTTCCTAGCTCTAACAGTCAGTCGATCAATCAGATTGCACAGTTTTATATAGTTTACATAGGCTCACCGCAAAAATGCCAGAAAGTACCAAAGTAGTGACAGCAGCGGCATAGCTATAATGGGCCATCGAGGGAAGAACAATGTATGCTAAGGCTTGCAGCGTCAGCGAGTTAATAAACAGCATTTTGCCACCAAAACGATCGGTCAAGTGTCCAGCCAGTGGCAGGGCAATAACGTAGCCATAGTAAAATACGCCGGGAAATGTAAGCGCCTGGCTGCGGCTCCAGGGCAGATCGCCCGACTGCAAATCGAACAAGTGTCAGAGTTAGGACAATCAAATGCCAGACAAACTTGCCTGCACGACATCGTAACTGTGCTGCTGCAACACGCCGCTGCCACAGCTGGGCGTGGCAGTAATATTGTCCAACCTATGGGAAGCTGCTTGAAGCAATGCATCCTCCGGATGCGCCTTCACCATGCGTAATATGATCAGGCCAAGCATATTGCGCATGCCCATGTGCAGGACATTGGTGAGAAAGGCGCACAGCGTGTAGGTGAGACGCACCGAGCCCAATAGGCGACACTGTGCACCAGCCGGGCCCGGCTCCAAGCTCCCTACATTGGGCAGATTCCATGATTTTTGCACCATTTAAGCGTGAAATTTGTTAGGCGTTTAATACTGAAACGGGACCGAGACACGAACGTTGCGCTACAAACTGCAACAACCAACTGAAGGGTTGGGCGGCCCAGATGTGAGAAATGCATAAAAATTTGCAATTTGTCACGATTTCTCTGCTCGTTTATCAGAGCTCAAGCGCTCGACTCTCTGCTTATCTTTACAAAATATGCAACGGTTTTGCCAAAACGATGAAAACAACAAAAGACACTCTGATAAGCGAATTACATGACCAAAGAAATTAGAAAAACATGATCAGAATCTATCAATCTCAGCTGATGCCGAGAGGCTTTCCAACTGCGTCCCGCTCTCATCGCGCTCTCACTCTCTCGCTCTCGCTCGCTCTCCTTATTGTAGTTAAAAATAGTAATAAATACTTATTAAGGTTGGGCTAAAAGTTAT